TCCAAAATAATAAAAAAAGAGCTATATTTGCAAAGGAGCTTTCCACAAAACAGCGTTTAACCTCTTATATTGGTCCTGTTTGATTTTATTCTGTGGACATACCTGTCACAGAGATGTTGAAGGTGTTTTGTGCTACACAGTGATCAGCAACAACATAATTATCACATCAATTATGGCATTCCACAAAGGCCTAAAACCAGCGGGGCTGGTGTCCACCATGAGTGAATGAGACCCCCTGAAGTCCCTGTTCATGCTCCAACGGGACCAAAAGGCAGTTACGATTTTTGGCAGGTGATTTTAATATTATGACCAATCAGTGTATGTTTAGATGACCTGATGCTTTTTTTGTTTTTGTTTTTTCCCTGCAAGCCAACCGAAGGCAACAAAATGTCTTTTCAGAGGTGAACAAAGTGAAAAATGTGTACCCTCACTGTTATGGACACGTTTTTCTTTAATCTCACTGGATAAGACAATGTATCGAGACACAAGAGGATTACATAGGATCTGCCGCAGTGTAATGAAAAGGCTCTGATATATCACTGTAAACAACAGTGGTTTTCTGTAGCTTGCTTGTTTGTATACAGTTTCCATGATATCTCCCACAACACTCTTGGGCTTCAGCAACTTCTGACCATTCGGGATCAAAACAGCCATTAAGCCGTTATGAATGCTCCACTTATGCTTTTCTTAGTGCCGATGTGATCCCCGCTTCTTAGCAGCACACTGTGTTTTGGTTTGAAAGAAATTTAGTCTTTCTCTTAAGTGCTCCCTCTCCGGAGAATCTGTAAAATGCTTTATAGTTGTTTACAATGGTGCAAAGTCATTTTTGCCCAATAGTGGAAAGAACTCGTGAAAATGGATGTCTTTACAGAGTTGAGGCAGTTAAACACACATGATTGTGTCTGCAATTTTTACACCGTCCACTACTTTTTAAAGCACGTCATTTGGACTCCTTAAACAATGCTATGAGATTATCCTCTTGAACAATGTCAATACTGTGCTATTCATGTTGGATTTATTTGTTTTTGGTATTGTACTCTAAATCTTTCGAGTTTTCTAAACATGTGCCCCATATAAATGCCGGTTGGGATTGATAAAAGGGGGGTTGAGGTGGAGATACAACGGAACATCTAATAGAGATATATCATTACACTGTTATATGTGTAATCTATTGTGCTGCCACTGAACAGCATCAGTATGGGTCTGGCAGTAGGCCATGCACACACACGCTGTGCCTCCAGTTGGGCTGTAATAGATGGTGTGAGTGTATTACTCGCTATAGTCCAAGTGTTAAGTGCTGGCCTGGTGTGTGTGAGATCGATGACAGCCGGGCGAACCCTCATTCTGACACACACATGCAGACACACACATAGGCACAGAGCGATCTGTGACACATAGCCTGAGGTCAGGGGTCACACACAAACATATCAATCTCTCAAACACACAGCGACCTCTCTTTTTTGTGTGTGTGTATGTACGACTGTATCAAAAACACTTTGTGTCTATTACATTTACACACACACATACACACAGACAGCCATACATATACCCATCTTGTCCTGTGACCATAGGGAGGGGACTGCTGTCAAGCACCGGTGGTCCATCGATACTCAGGCAAAGCACTAATGCCTGCTGTCTGCTGATGGACGCTGGCCTGCCTCCAGGGACCATTATACTCAATGGGACGCAGACAACACACACACATACACCAACGCGCATTAAACCGACATCAAAGAGAGAAACAAATGTAGTACTTTTCTGCACCCTTTTTCTACTTCCAGGTGAAATACCCCCAAAAGCTTACAGTTCATAGACTATATGGATATATTTGATCTGTTTTAAATGGTAGCCACGCCCCCTCCCCCTTTTTTTTTTCCAAAGGGAATGATAATCCTAATTTCTGTGCAATACAGTCATGAATTGACAAACCTTAAAATGATCACCGTCAGGATTATGCAGTATTAGATTTTAGAAATGCATAGTAAATAGATGAGACTTGAATAAACTACTTTATAATTGAATGTCTGGATGTTTTAAAAATACACCTGAGCAAAAAAGAAAAAAATCTAATTACATACCACAATCTTTAATCAATATTTAATCGTACACTTAAGATGTGACTGATTGTTCAGTTCAGAAAGAAAAAAGAAAATTACTTACAGGTTATATGTATATGTATAGGTATATGTATAAGTATGTTTTTCTTTGAACATTGCTAACAGGCATCCCTTACAGTACTCTCTCCTGTCCTAAGCTAGGCTGCGGGGTCATAAGGGCTTCGGTATTCATGTGAAATAACCTGACTGCAGCAGGATCAAGTGGTATGTTCTGATCCTTCCCCTCACTATCCACGGAACTGCAATCCAGACTCCATTAGTGTTACTCATCTGTACTTTAGTGTAGCTTTTTGGTCCTTTTCTTCTCCTTCCCAGAGCCCTCTTTTTCACAGCTCCCGTAAATCCATCCAATTGAAGTCGCTCACAGATCTGTATTACTCACTGAGTGTCAAGCTCAGCTCCTTTTTTCGGTGAATTAGTTTGAACAGCAAATGGGCTGTAGTGTGTGATTTGGAACACTATGAGTGATCAGGTGCACAAACGACTTTAAAGTGGAGAAATACTTGCTTCATGTATCCGAACAATCTGGAAAATAAATCCAAAACTTGCTACGGGCCATCATAATCCGTAGCCGTTTAAAAGCTAACAATCCAGTTAACTGGCCACATTTAGGCTAGCTCAGTGCTATTCAAACGCAGAATTCCCCCTGGAAAACCTGCCTCTTAAACTTGTATGGATCTCACGCCTACCTAAATTCTGCTGACTAATACCCCTCACACTGGAACAGTATGACAACGTTAACCTTATAAAGAGATGTTTCACACAGAGAGACGGCACTGAGACGTGCAAAAATAGCTCAGAAAGGGATAAAAAGTTTGTTATAGGGCATGAGATGTCTTCCTGACCAACCTTAAACTCTCCTGATACCAAGCTGATGTGATCTGACAGTGTACATGGGAAGCAAGCCAAAAGGATTAAATGCTAAGTTGGTGGTACGTGACACTCCAGAACATCTTCAGATCTTCTTTGACCAGACTTTCAATGGTCGGGGCTCTCAGGAGGAAAAGAGTGCACTTTATTTTAGGCAGGTGGAATATTGGATACATCATGTATATAAGGAAACCATAAAAGTTTTTTTTGTAAAAAAAACTTCTAAGAAAAATTGAACCTCAAATGTTTGTGCAATTCAATTTGTGTTTGTTTAGAAAAAGTGCACACAACATGCTGGAGCAGAGCTTTAGTAGAGGCAAGGGTGTAGATATTTATATGAGATGAAAACAAAGTGGAAAATGATGAGCAAAAAAGCATGCAAGGGACACCTTGAGAGAAAGAAAAGAGAGATATGGGTCCTGACAGGAGACGAGGACTGTCTGTTGATGTGCCTGCATCAAATCCAGGAGCCTGTGGGCATCATCACAGAGCAAGCATACACAAACACAGAAATGTACACATAGATGCGCCGTGATAACCCATCAGCACTGGCCAAGTGTTGTTTAATCCAACCTGACTTGTACTCGACAGAAAAAGCAAATTCACTTCCACTCACAGTCTGAAAAACGACTCGCTCTTCACATAAATGGCAGCGCTCTGAATTACCTTGTATTTCAGTGTGTGTGTGCGTGCCGGCAGCCCCATGTCCACGCACACTCTGCGGCGCGTGACTTATTTTTGTGATGATTTCTGCGTGTGTCTGTGCGGGTGTTTACATGTATTGGTGGTGACAAGCTCTTCAGCTGTACCCCCTTCATTGTTTGACAGGCAGATAGCTGGGCTGCTCTGCTCCCTATTGTTCAGGGGTTGTCATTAAACCCTGCTTGTACAGCCAGTTATACTGGTTGTGTGTGTGTTGCCAGTGTATGCATGGATGTGTGCGACTAGTGGAGTTTGCGCTTAGTGAACCTCTTTATCTTCACACGGGCTAACACGAGGATCCTTTTTTGTCTGTGTGTTATTTGCTGTGCAGGCATTTGCCATGTATATGAACATGGAGTGTGGTGTGCTCACAGGTGATACTGTGTGTCGGATTTGTTTATCTTTGTCTCAGCAAGAGAAGAATGGGAAGATCAGGCAGACAAACCATTGTTTAACTGTCTGATAGTTTAGCCGCAGCGCTCCACTGTACTCTCCACCCTCCTCTATTGTTTTGTGACTCTTCATTAAGCTCTTGTTGGCCAGTCAAAATGCGCAGGAGTGCTTGTTAGCCACAGCGCTATCATTTGAGGAGAAGAGTGGGTGAACTGAGCTCACGCACACGCACACAGCCTCACAAAAACGGATACAAGAGGGTGGAAGCACAGAGTAGGTACTGCTGATGTGAAAAATCACTTTCACACACTATCTGTGGTGCTGTATGTATCATTAATGTTCTCATAAAATGAAAGGAACACAACCTGTGCTGATATTTCTTTTTTAGCCCTACAGTGTTAAAAGGGCAAAAAAGGTAAATTACTTTAGCTTCAAATGAAAATCTTGGAAGGATAATTTACTTTGATTAATGAATGGACGCACCCATCAGAATCCCTTCTGAGGGTAGAGATCAGTTTATGATCTTTGTTTGTGACTGCGAGAATTCAGTAAAGATGCTTTAACGACATTTTTCTTGAAATTAGAATGAAAGGAGCCTTTAGACATGGGCCACAGGTGGATTTTGTACGTTGGAATGCGTCTAATTAATGAAAAAATGGCCATTGATTTAGGTATGACTGATTACTACAGGGCGAAAACACTCAGGTATTTTCTATTGAAAGTGTTTGGTCAAAAAGTTAAATTTGGATGGATATAAGAATTATTTAGATTTTTTTTTCTTTTATGACAAATCACACCACAAAGCATCGGACTTCTGGGGATTCTCCCTCAACATCTCTGACAGCCTGATGATGAAAATTCTGCATGTTTCCACAATTTTGCCAAATCTGTCAGTCGTCCGTCTGCACTGCTTCACAGCACAACCCGAGAAATGGATGGAACATAAAAACAAGCATGCGGACGGCCAGCGAGTCCAGCATCCCTCTCTGGTTCCACTTCCTGTGTTAGAGCGGGACGAGGACAAACTGGTGACATCACTTCCTCCTCAGGACAATCGTACAGGAACAGGCCCGGAGGCTGCACAAGTGCCGTCTTTGCCATAACAACTCTGACCGCAACCAAGAACACACAAGCACAAGACACACACATGAACACTATTGTTAGCTCCAAACTGTGACTAAACTCTGTTTATTGACATTATTTTGAAGCATTGTGCTTATGGCTCTGTCCTGCCTGTCCTTCCTCTGGTCTCACTTCCTCTATGTGTCTCTGTCTGCTTCTGATTTAGTCAGTTTCATCCTTGTGAACTGAGCTTTTTTTTTCTCAAACACCTACTGAATTTGAGGATCTCTAAATATTTGGCTTTGTCCTGGAAATGTGACGGCATAGTCTTGCACTAATCATTCTTTTATCAACACCAGATGGATTTAAAGCTATGAGAAATGGTGACAGCTCAAGTATTTGGTAGAATTTTTAAAGTATAATATGTGAAAGTCCTGTGCGCAGGAGACTTTTACATCAAAATGCATACAGTGTCTTTTTTTTCATCAGGTTGTTCCAGACCAACCTTTTGTTCAAGCTTCCAAACTTACCTGGTTTGATTAAATGTTTTATGCATCTTACAAACCCATAAATGTGCATATCCAGGCAGTGTTGCTCGCTTTTTCCGTCCTTAACTTAATCCGAAGTTCTATCATTTTTCAGACGCTTTTAAAAGAGGCAGGATGTGGCCTCAAATAGTTCTTGTGCTGGTTCCCATTTGTGGAGTACCTCCTTTAACCTGAAGGTGGGAGCAGTGGCTGCAGTTTGGCAGCTCCACTTTGCTAGAGGAAGACCTACAGCACACTTAGAGCAGCCCCCCAAATAACAGTTCAATTTTTGTTCAGATACAGACAAAACATACCATATAGAAGATCTGCTAAGCACAACAATGCCACTCCAGTCAGTTGAAGCTGAGTAAATGGTCCTGAACTGTATCATTTTACTATCTGTTTTTGAGTTGGGACCTTGCGGATTTAATGGCGTGCATTTTTTTTTGGTTTTCTATTTATCTGTTCTAATTTTGTAAAGTAAATCAGAGTAAATCATACAGGAAAGGCCAGCATAAACAGTTGATTACACATTGTCACTCGCTGCAGATTGGCTTTGATGTGCGTCCTTATGTGTGCTTTTAATTGATTGACCTGTTGTTAAGGATCGCCTTGTGGTCGCCACCAGTCAATACTGCCAGGTCTTAGTATTCCTGGGTGAGAAGAGCAGAGGGAGAAACGGGCAGAAGGCAAGAAAGAGAAAGAGGGGAGATATTGATCATTTTCAGTATGCATCGAATTCCAAGTTTACCTGACCTTCCAAACTGCTGGTGTCATCACCGCAGTGCATCACTGATGTCCCCTTCTTCTCCTGCTTTCTTCTGGCCTTCCTCACTGTACTGTCCTTTTGTTTCAGCTCTGTGGGTATTGTGTGCACGTGTGTAATGTGTGTGTGTGTGTGTGTGTGTGTGTGTGTGTGTGTGTGTGTGTGT